GCGTAGCTCACATTTAGCGAAGTCCATCGGCAAGTATAACATACGATTCGAGACGCAATACGAACCCGATTTAATTACTCTGCCGGTGTGACCGAAATGCAAATAAATGTCTACTCGATTTTATGACGGACAACTTGAAAACACATACCTACTATAACAGTTGCAGCACTTACAACAACATTTCGAAGATATTAACAATACTAAACTCTAGATTAACGCCTTTGTTACGACAAATTAATGTTCGCGTTTGTGTTCTAGGAGTTATATTTTTTTCAACACGACGACTTCGGTCGCCTATACGGCTTTGTGGCTACATAATATCCAAGGAAGCGATTTAACTATTATAGTGCTTAGGTCCACGGCCGAATCACGAAAATATAACGTATATTGTTGGGACGCGTGAGACTGCAGTATTTTGGACGATTTACTATTTACGCTTCCTAGTCCGACAGAATTCTCTACACCTATAACGATCTGAAACCGTGTGCAAGCGCAACTGTATACTCTACCATAGAGTAAATCGTTTATTCACGTTACACAATTGTTATTATCGTTATTATAGGTGTGCAGAGTTGTGTACTTGTGTGTGAGATAGATAGAGAGAGAAAGATTGCGCACCACATTGTCTTCTGTATAGGTACTATTATATTATAAACATCTGCATTCATCGACCAAACGAGCGGAATCGAAATCTCTTGACCGTGAGCAAACAAATATGTTTTTTCTTCCTTATACGTACTCACTAAATTCTTATATTGTTCGTAAACGTTAATATTTTTAAGTCTTTTAGAAGCGCTATGAGAAGCTGTTCGCCGATGCTGTACGCAGTAATGGGAAGTTATTTATTTTTGTTGGACTCCAGGTATACGGTGCTATATTGGTGCTTTTACATCGGTGTTTTTAATCTTTCAAATGGAAACCGACACCACAATGCGGTCGAAAAGCCATCAAACTGATAAATTGTTCGATTTTTTTAGTTATTTTGCTTGAAATCATAAAATAATAATCTCAACGACTTGACGATAGCCGCGTGGAATAAAGTGCTCAAATCGCACGAAAATGCGGAATGGACTGGTGAAATGGTCTACTGCAATGTATAAAATGTATTTTAATACATATTTATAAGTGTGAAGAGTAATAATATTATTTATAATTTTAACCATAAAAAGATTTCATTTTATTTCAAAGTAAAGTATAATAGCGCAATATTTTTGTTTTCGTTTTATACAATTTGCAGTTTTAATTTATAACACATATAAATGTAATTCAAGGTTAATCATGCCAATATTGAATAATTTAAAAGCTTATAAAAATTATGACCAACATAAACATAATATTTATTATTAAAATCTTTATTATTGAACAATTTTATTTAATAAAGCATTATAGTGACCAGAGGCATTAATGTTATTTTGAATCCGTAGATCGAAGTCACCTGTATGATGCTCGTAGGTTCGACAATCGAGAATACGGTGGACAAAAATGAATATACATTATACATCGCTCCGGAATTTTGAACTTTTTAGAAACATTTTTGGGAGATTTTTATACAAGTTCTAAAATTGATGATAGGTATCACATTGATCATTCAGTCTGCAGTATCAATCACCAATGTGTTCTTACATTATACACACATGATATGATGTACCTATAAACTTATACCTTTGAGTTTTTGATTTATTTATAAAAATACCATGGTTGACACCTAAAACCGTTTAGTCATAACTCATAACACATTCACACTGTTTCTATTCAATCAAAAATTAATAATTAATTTCATCTATTGCGTTATTATTTACAGAGTTTCAAACAGGTGTCCTGTAATAGATTCTGTGATTCAATATTGACTGTAAAAATGTATCGACTTTCAGTAAACGTCCAGCATATCAATAAATCGAATAAAGTTTTTTTTCTCCTCCGCGATACCGATCATGTTATAAAGTATTAATTTGTTGAACTGTACTTCAATATAATGTAATATAATTTAGCTATAATGTGTGTTAGTATACGCACATGATGTAAATGTATGCATATCATTATAAAATTAGAATATACTATTATTATTATTTTATTTTTTTCTAAATAGCGTTCTCTTAGATAAATTAGATAGCGAGATAGCAACTCATCAACTATTATATAGATTGCTACCGCTACTAAACAAAATTAAAAAGCCAATTTGTTTCGACCTTTATAAAATATTATGCTTGTTCCGTTTTTAATGGGATTTTTATCGAGTCACTATTAAATGTATAAATACCCTTACAGGTATGACTTTTATTGAGTGTTGGAACTTGTAATAACCTTTCTTAATATATCGTTCGCGATTTTCAAATTCGTATTGTTATCGAAAACAACGATGCTCGCTCGACTTTCCCGTGACCAGGAGAGCACAGAGAGTCAGAGCTTAAAAAATCCGTTTCTTTTCGATTTCAAAGTATTTACAGTATAATATAGCTAGGTAGGTATAAAAAAACGTTACCTATATAATATATATAATATATATATACACATAAGACGATAAACAAGCGCTAATTAAAGCAACACTGATGCAGAGTCAAACAAGGTTAATAGTACAACATTATAATTTATAATAATATATTTTAATAATATGTAATTATTGCGTTTACTACACGTAGGTAGGACACCAGCTATAAATTATAATCAGCTGCAGTATATTATATTCTATACGTTATGTAAGTCTTCGCCATGAAATGTTATTATAAATTTATAATATTATGATAATACGACGTTTAACGTTTTCATTATATGTTAATAATAATACGGCAATACATTTGAGTATTTTTTAGTCATGTTGATTTCAATATACGGGAATTTACGTGTTCGTAAAAGAACACGGCTGAGTTAAATACAGAAAATCGCCTGAGAATTTGTAAAATCGTGTTTAAGGTTACCACAATAATGTTATATACGTATATACTGTATAGTATAATATTATGTTGCTGCTGCTGCAGTATACAGGTATAATAAATATTGTAAGCGGAAGGACAACGATATTCAGAAATGCATTAGATACTTATATCCGGTTTTTGTTTCATTTATTCAAAAAAAAAATATATATAAATATCGTTCGGTTCCTCGATCGAAATCAAGTTATTTTGAATAAAGTATACTTATATATATATAGCTTAAATCTGTAAGCATTCTAAGAACGAATCAAATGCCAACTTATTTAGTATCTCATACTAACAATATTATTCAAATAATAAAAAATTTTTGAATTATTTTATACAAAAAATTATTAAAATTAATTTAAACATAAAATTATTGAAATTAATTTATCATGTTTAATAATTTGTAGTACTGCGGCAGCTCATTTGAATACGAACTTGAAGGAAACGTGCCATTTTCGAACACTGCAGAGTATTAATACCATCAGACCGCAAGAGACAGTCGTAAATAATTTTTAAAAGCGTCCTGCAGAGTATTCGGATTGAATTTTTTTTCGACAAATTATTTGCCCGAAAACAATTCAGTAATATAGTATTACTTATACAAACACGGCGCGTGCCACAAAAAGAAAGACTCGTATAGTTGTCGTACCTAACGAATTCCAAACACACGTAGCTGGTAGGTATAATCTCATTTGTTCTTATACAATAATAAGTATTTTTTTAATCGCTCGTACATTTTTATGCACGTCGTTCGAATGTTTTCACTGCGAATTCGACCTGTGGATATGTTATTATTATTATTATTATTATTGTACGTACCGTTTGGAAGCGTCTTACACGGAGTATAACCTAATAACCAAACGAGCCAAAGAGCTTTCTCAAAATTTGTTAGGAAAAATATTTCGAAACATACATTTTAGCCCTGTGACAAACTATATGGTGTATCATGTACTATTAGATAACTATTTATAATATGTTTGAATAAAGTTTTGAATAAATTTATACCGGGTTGCATAATCAATCAATAGACATTTAACGAATCGATAGTCAACTAATGATGGTCCTTTAAACATGATTTAGTGACCCATGATTGGTCCATTAAATTTTATTAGACCGTTAAATTAATACATTTTTCATGCAACCTGGCATCATTTTAAGTGTTTAATTGAATATGATTTTTAAAATGATATATTCTTATTATACTCATTGCAACCCAGTACCTACATAACTACGTGTTCTAGGGTAGTAATCACTTATTATCGTTGTTAGTTAAAAGCCACTTATGTCGGTATTTTTTCCACGTTTTTATCATAAATTAGTAACTCACCTAATTCTGCAGGACATAAGTCGTGCGATCGTGTATGAAGTATTATTTGACTTATAAGACATCAAATATTGTTATATTTTACGATGTGCTCACAGCATATATAACATAGGTAACTTATTCTACAGTTTAGTCGAACACGTGTGATTGTAATACACATTTATAAATTTATAATATGCATTACTATGGCCCGCTAAAGCACGCTGTTAATAATTACTGTACGCATAATATGAAAACCGATCAAAGCGCACAATCGCCAGCATATTTTCAGACATAGGTAGTGACATATATATACATAGTGTATCACGGTAATCTGACAGTTTTAAATTTAAATATTTCAGAGCTTTGTGCTGTTACACTTAGCTGGTATGGATCTAAGATTGGGACAGTTGAAACATTTCATCATATAATTACTGCCTATACTTTTCTTCAAAGTACTTTTCATCAATATATCAAAAATATATTAATATGTACTTCGAAATAAGTTTTTTTTTACTACTCCAAAATTAAATTAAATTGAGTAGGTAGTAAAAAAGACTTATTTTTTAAAATCTAGATGATAGATCTAGAAACTATAGATGGATGATCGATATTCTATGTAGGTACCTGGATCGATTATATTAGAAAATCAAATCTACGGCACAAATTGATATCATAAACAGTAGTATATTTGAGTAAATACATAATATATATATGTATAAATATTACAGTTGTATGTACCACGATAAAGGTAGGTATATAATAATATCATAGTAGTGTAGGTACCTATATAGTATAAATATGTATAAAATATGGAGAATGTGTTCTGATTAATAATCATGATTTATCGTTCATGAGGGGAGGGGGGCTTAAAATTACCATTACAATTTACAAGTGTAGGTAAATGTTTCCTATTAAAACCGGCAGTCGTTATTCTATAATATTTTTTGATAATAATAACAGATATTATATAATATTATAATGCATCAGCAGCTATTCGTCGTGAAGGTTGTGATGAATGATGGTGGTGATACGGCGACCGCTTTTAAATATTATATCATGCAACTTTGACGTTTGAGAGTATATATAGATAGGTATAGCTGCCGATTGATATAATAACTGAACTATTTTTGGTTCATGAAATCGATGATCTCGTTTTTCTTGCCATCCGTGTCGTAAATCTGCATGATCTTATCGAAATCCCCTCGCCTGTACGTGTAAATGTGTCTTATCACTAACCGCGCCATGTCCTTTTGCCTCGGGGTGCACTTTCCGCACACGGTACGTATGATCTCGGGCAACAGGTAGGCTGTAAATCAGAAAACGGTCGTGTATAGGACATTTGTGGTATATTTCGAAAAAATTTAATCCTACAGGTTGTACGCCGAACAACCTGTAGACAATCGCGGTTGTCAACAATTTTAGCTCACCCCCTAATATGTAGGTCGAGTGGCGGCTACGAGAAGGTATAAAATGTAAAAACATGTGTGACGAACAAATAACCAAACGCATGTCACCGTGACCTCGACGGAGGAGCTACAGCATTAAATCGGTTATTGTTTACAAACTTTTTTTGTTGTTGTTATTGTAATTATATGTACCTAAGTAATAATTATTATTAAGTATGTACTAGTTATGACGTGTATTACCACTAAGCGTACGCAGCTGTCTAAAATACGTCTCCTCGTTCGACGACCAAAGACAAATCATTAAATCGAATACCTATATTGTATTACCTATAAAATATTATCGCATAATAAATCGGCTCAAAAAAGTAAATAATTTTATTAGTAGTAAGACAATATTCATCGTTATCATCCTAGTAAGTACGAACAATACATGCTGGTAAGACGTGTGCTCGTTTCTTGTTTACATAACTACCTATTTAGTTTTAATGATACGACTATATAATCCATGGTTAGTAATATATTTTCGTACATAAATTCACGTTGGCGATTAATTGCGTCTGACCTTTCGTTCAATATCGACAACATTTTAAAGGTCGACGCATGCTGGTTCACATGTTTAAATAAAAAAAATTTACCACTTACGTCTTAAAGGTAAACAATAAAAATAGAATATAGCAGAAATATGGCGAACTATGGTATTGATAATAACTATGGTTAGATATTATTATTCGTACACAGAGCACGTCAATTATTATCCAATTACGAGTAACAACTGCTGTGCATACGCAGTCATTCGCGTGAGATCGTAAAAATGATACTATAATATTTCGATTCACTGATTGTATTATAATATTATTACGATTATTCGATGTTGAAATCGAAAGAGGATACATTTAATTCGTATACCAATATACGTTTTGTAATATCGTAACACACTAACACGAATGGACCTCTAAAATGGTTGGAATTCGATTAAAATATAGAAACAAGCTGACAACTGCAGTGTCGCCACCTGGAACGTGTACTAATGAAGTCATCGGTATAATAGACGTAATATAATAATATTTCAAAACAACGTTTTATCGGATCATTCAGTCCGAAATTTCATCACATTTCTGAGTGGAATTAAGACGGACGTATGTTTAGCAGATAACACTCGTTTCTGAGTTTCATTAGAAATTCTCAAACGAAAAATTGCTCGGTTTTGAACAGCTCGGGTGTACATTTTTTTAAATGCAATAACCTATTTATTTTTTCTTGATTTTATTGGTTCGTTAGTCGACGATATAATTATCAGTCTTTTACTTTGCGCTAGAACGTGTCTGTTAGAATTTTAGTCTGCGTTTTTACTCTATTCGAGTTAAGTTTACCCCCACTCGACCGACGAAAACTAATCACGTCTGACTATCCCCTTCCATTAATGTATGTGCTCCATTCCCCCCACCCATAGTTATCTATTATTGTAACTTGTGCTGTTGTGATGTTCAACAGCAATACTCATAGTCGGTAAAATGTAAGTAAGTACTAGATTGATTAATTAATCAACTCGATTTAAATTCAATTTAAATGAATCGGAATGTTCCAAAAAATATTCTATACTTCGGAATATATGAAATTAAAAATGTATTTTGTATCTTTGTCGTTCAAAAAAGTAAAGAAAATAATGCGAATATAATTTTTAAAAAATGGTATTTAAAAATATTAATTTGTAGTTCTTGCAATCTTATTTCATTTAAAAAAAATTCAATCTGTTAGTTTATTAAATATACTTGTAATTTGGACACTTATGAAAAAATCAGCCACCCAGTGGTGACGATTTATAGTAAATAGTAATCTTATTAATAATTTCAAAATAATTTTCGAGCGTACAGTATAGTAGAACAGGTATGTTAATTAATTATTAAAAAGTCAGTAACTCTAGTTTTCTGAATTCACGATGTAGTATGAATATTTTATTATTATTTTATTTTATTGAATATTTTTTTTTTAAATACAATATATATTATGTTACTAATAGCCTGTCTTTTACCTTGGTTAACAAACACAAAATGTGAAATATCGTTTAAAATTTGTTTTGATGTTAAAAAAAGAGACTTGAAAAGGGTTCTGAATTAAATTAATTAACATGTATATACTATTATGCTTATTGTTTTATTTTTTTTTTTTCATTGGTAGTAGTTAAAACCAGTTATAGTAGTTTGTAGGTTAATTCAAACAGTTGTAGTTTTTGTCAAATCAGGTCAAATACTTGTCAATGCAACGATTCATTTTTAATTTTGCAGCACTGCAGCGGTATACCCATACATGCTATGCCTTAAATTTAAAATATGGATTATTATTGCATTTCTTTTTATATTTTTAGATTTTCACGAACAATATTTGTGAATTATAATGGAAAAATATAAAATGATAGTAGGTCAATACATATATGAGTTAGCGTTACGTCGAGCAGTTAGAAGGTATAGGTTATTCTTAAAATTTCAATTATTATATTAATTTTAAGTTACATTTTGACGTCTTAACACTGTTGTACCTGCACTATACCTACGGGAAGGATTTTTTCCAAACGAAAACAACTTTAGCTGCATGTCTTCAATGAGCACATTTCGATAAATCATCTTAATCGAGTATTTAAAAAGATGTTGTTTTTTTTGGTGCAACAAGTCCTCAACACCACTTGCAAAGCGATTAATAAAGTACGCTCTGTCGCACTACCCTCGTATCCATCGTACCTTTTGCTAGTCTGCCTTCCGGCGTGCAAGGTCCTTCGTTGGTGAAACACTTGACGAAGCCCGCAACCACCTTGTTGTTTCTCAGCAATCGGCCCACGTCCATGTGGTCGTACGTGGACACGTAGTAGCCCGACGGAGCGGTGAACATCGTCGCCTCCTGTTGCTGTTGCTGCGGAGGATAAACTCCGGCGTCGGCGCAGTGGACGGTCGATGGCTGATGGACGAGCACGGTGGCGATCGCCGCGACGGCCAGCAGCGAGAAGATTTCGGGACGGCACCGCGGACTGTTCATATTATTATTCGTCATCGTCGAAATGGAAACGAAATCCGGTGGGCCTAATAAATGATGCCTATGAACACCGGCAAGAAGACACGATATTTGGTAAGCTTTTCCGACGGTTTCTGCGACTCAAGTGTCGTCGTCCGCCCGTTTATATAATATATTATATCGTCCGTACCCGCGGAGACGCGTGTGAAAATGCGTTTGATTTTTCTCTTTCGGCAACAACACAAAATAGGTGCTTAAACACAATATAATAATTATTGTGAGTAATACGGTGCGCGTGCGTACTCGGCGGTCGGGGACTATCTTTTTTTTTTATCGGCACGCGTCTTTTAAGTTTCGTGTCGAATTCACGGCCGACCAACCCGAAACGCGTATATCGTACAAATTATTATGTTATATGTGACGTGTGTGAGCGATTTAATCGGTAACAAAATATAAACTAAAAAATGTCACACGTCTCGACTGAAATAGCCGCATATCACTCTTATTCGTATATATGACCGGTACAGGGTGATTCTCCGACCGTGCTCATTACTCGCCCTCATTCTTCACGAAATATTGAATTTATTCAAATCATGCAATTTGGAATAAATATAATAGTCTAAAATAGATGTAATCTTGGATCTGGAAGTGATATATGATACTCGGATATCTTAGAAAAATCAAAGTTCAATGGGCGTACATCGGTTCCACTAGAAACTAAATTTTCGTTATCGTCAAAATTAAAATAAGTTTGGTTTTGGTTTTCATCAAATCGTTAATCTTCCAAAATGATTATTTAATATATTTTGAGAACCACTATTCTTAATTCTGGTGCTCTGCGGATTATTCCATGCACATTTCAACAATCCGTTCTTTAAATCACATACAGATTTATAAATACGCATCAACTGCGATAACAAGTATAAAATCAAAAATACTATCCATGTGGAATTGTTGAAAACTGTACCTTATGTACCTAACCTGTATATGCCAGGATTTGGTGGAAACGAGTCCAGTTACACAGCTCAAAATATACTCGTTTGGATTTTGCTTTTGATACGACGAAATGTTCAGAAAAAGCACCCACTAAATAGTTTACAATAGAAAACCATTTGAAAAATAGAAGTTTGTGTCTTCCCAGGACACTCCTTACGTAGTTGTACAAAAAGTGTGTTTGAAAATTTCAAAAATAAGATTTCGAATAATAACATCGTTGAAGAAAAAAAGGGTTGAATACGCTTGACGAATCACCCTGTATAAGAAATAAACATACAACAATATAATATAAAAAAATATAGTTTTGATAATGTCCAGACGTGATTGAATATGGTACCTAAAAACTTATTATGACTTACATTAAAATAACACAATAGTATACAAATATTTTAAAAATTTCGAATGACTAAACAAATCTTAAATTATAAGTATACATTTTTTAATGATTGCATTGTGTTTACTACATATAGAAATGATAGTATAATTTATTATAGTAGAATTGTTCAGGTTTCTACGATTAATGTTTTTTCAATGACAACAAAATAACAAAAATTGTTTCAGAAAAAATTATTTTTTATGTTTCGATGTCTAATTTTGAAAAAAATTGCAACTTTGAACTTCAAATACTTTTGAAAAAAAAAATAGTAAGAAAAGCTTATGAAGTTTTCAATCCTCCAAGATCCTCCAATCCTCTCGGCGGCTGTTCGTTTATGTTTCAGTACCATAACAAATTAAAAAACGTTTACTAAATATAATTGCCGTTTTCAGCTGTCGTCTCAACTATTTATTGAGAGAAAAACCAGAGAGTATTGGGACTTTTGAATTCAAACGACATAGGAAGTAATAAGTTATAAATATATTATGTATGAGTAGTTATGAGTTAAAATTACAAATACCAATAATTCCCGCCTGCCGACATCTATACCAAATGATAAATAATTATTATCTTGTACCAATTGAAACCAAAAAGACGATGACGGCATCATCATTGTGACATTCTGGGTGCCTCACGCAATTTTTTGGAATGACTCCCAGCTATAAGACATAATATTATTATAATACATATCAACTAGTGAGAATTTCTCATTTTTATCCCGAAAAAAAGTATGAGCAAGATCCAATTTGTCACCAAACCACATATTTCTATCAAAGTTAAAAATTGAAGCATTTTTTCTGATTTAAAACAGTATGCTTAATCAAGCTTATTCATGTATAACTACTCTTTTCACATATACCTATTGTGCTATACAGTATAGATTGTATATTATCTCATACAAATAAAAAAAAAACAGTATGATGGTAGTCCCCCCCCCCCCAAAAAAAAAAAACCAGCAACTCACTTAACTTTAAATCCAATAATACATTTAGCTCTATAATCAAATTAAAAATGTATTTAGTCCTAATTTATCAAATGATTTCACTGTACTAATATTGAATTAATATTTTAATTATTCATATTTTCAATATTAACTATAAATACTATTAATAATGAAATAGTTACAGTAGTAATGGTAAGGTTACAACTTACATGTTATGATAATCATCAATTTTATTTTATTTTATAATATTTAGGGCATAAAAGCCGTGGTTTTTTTTTAGGACATTGCATATTACCAGCCTTAAGTTATAAGTTTATAGTGAATTTGTTGACTGAAGAATGAGGGTATACCTAACCTAACCTTTGTCGCTTAACGCTTTTGAACGATACTATTATTTTATTTTCTTATCTCGTTTTTGTGCTATTGTGTCGACAACAATTAACATTTTTGGCTGCACACGGACATAATACGTCCGCCGGAGGTTTTCATAAACGTGGCGACCATGACGTGATGCAAATTCAAACGAAATAATTATGCGCATTCCAGTTTTCAAAAAATCTTTATATCTTTTACGACGAATAAATATTTTTCAATAACATTTCAGATGAAGGAGAAAGAAAGTAGTGATTTCAATACGCACGCGCTTACTGTAGTCACCATTACGTTTATATAATGTTTATTAATAATTTACTATAATATTATTATTGAATATTTTGTCACACAGATCAATGCCGAGATGATGGCGAAAGGATTCGATTACAGATAGATCCAATAAAATTATGTATGCGTCGACAAAAAGTGTCATGGCGAACAGTTATACATAACACTCAGAATATTATGCTACTCCCGAATACTACACAGACGAGTTTTATATTTTAGGTACAATATTATAATAATACGTAGGTAGGTACATTTCAATATTATAATATTACGTTGTACGAGTTTTGAACTTTTACACGCGCGCTTGATCTGTGACTTGCACTGTTTTCCAATCTTAAAATATTACAGCGCTCTTGCGATGCACTATATTACCCGATATTAATATTATTGTCTATACCTAGATCACAGAGTAGATATTCTGCGCCCAAATACTCGCGTGGTCATCGAATGAATTAAAGTCCAACTACACGGGGTATTAACGTCAGCGCATCGAAAGCTAATATCTGAGGTTTGGATGACTAATCGACAGTTCCAGAAACAAACTCGTACAAACTATCGGAAATTTAATTAAAGCTTTCGACGCCATTTTCGACGGAAAAGGGCGAATTCCGCGGAATAGGCCCCACGTGAAGTCGACCCACTCTAGCTCATGTAGTCGTGTAGAATGTGTAAGTCACTCGCGAATTCTATAAGTAATAAGTATATATTATATACCCGCAAATGGCCGTCGTATGAACTATCAAAAATTAGCAGTTAGCACACAACCATCGCGTGATAATTCAAAAAATGTCGCGAGAAAGTAGCCAACAGTCCTGCCTACAGAAATCACTCGTAAGCTTTCGCTGCCGTGCCGAGCTTGGAAAAATATTGAAATGCGTCTCTATTGAGTAAGTTTATGCAGTTTCATTGTTGCGATTAAAACCTTCGAACGCCTTTTTGTGCCTTTTTATGTTTTCATTTATTCAGTCGTTATAATGTTTAACGAAACGAAACAACAATAAAATATTTATTATGTCAGTTTTTTTTTTTTTACAAGAAATGTACAATCTGTGCCCTTGGGCACAATGAGAATATGTGATAAGTGAGAGATTTCGTACACGACAAAGCGCGAGGTGAGAAGCCATCCAGTGAAAGCACTACCTATTATTGGTTTGACTATTTTTTTTATTTTTTAAATTAATCATTCAGTAAATCTCTACACCGATTTCTTTTCAGTCTTCGTGTAACTTTGATTTAATTACATAACTGTTGCCGCATTGACATAACTCGACGAGTTGAAAAAATCGTTAACTTGCCAAGCATTCATGATTTTGCTCTTCGCTGCCATACCATCATTGTGCTCGGAGTCGTCACAAAATTTTTCCAAAACAGGGGCAAATCGGTTTTTGGTAATCATTTGTCATGTAGCCCGATGTGGTAAAAAAAAAATAGTCGCTGACATTCGCGAAATGTTGGACAATTTTACCAACCAACTTCTCGTTATTGTATCGGCGTTAATGCAACTCAACATTATGGTCTTCGGTATTGAAATAGTAACACATAAAAAATAGTAATAAATAATAATAACACTAATAAATAATAACTTTAGCACCGCTCTACGCTGCACGCTGGCTGCTATACACGCCCATGCCCGGAATAACGAATTTCTGGAATAACCGAACAAACTTCTTCTCTTAAGATTTGAATATTTTTATCATTGGTCTTAGACTTCCGACACCGCGACGGTTATAATACATGGCAGTTATCGTCGTTCGATAACTGAAAACGTAGGCTTTTTATAAAATGTAATTATTACAAGCCACAGAAACGAAATAATAATATGGTTTTATTGAAATTTCATAATGAACGATTTCAGCTTGGAACGATGGGCTCTGAAATGGGTAAGTACAAGAAATAATAATTCATATGATTATTATTATTATTATTATTATCTGACCAACACAAAAGTCCATCCGATATTTTTTAGGAGACCCCCTGGCAATTGTCCTGAAATGTTCCCGTTGTCCTCCCATCCCACGGAAGGCCCTGATTAATGATTATACTATACTGCGGGTATAGGTACTTATTTAGTATTATATAGGCACGATCGATACGATTTACCATCTTTCGATCTTTTAAAAATTATTCGTGCACAACATTTTTGTCAAAGTTAAATAACTTGACATCTACCAGTTCTATAGTCTTTTGAAATTCTTGACTTAATAATATTTGATGCGTCGCCAAAATTTATTTTTTCCGTAATCTATCGCCTTTAGTTAAAAAATATTTTTATTGCATATTTTTAAAGAGTTTTTTCAGTAAAAAAATTGCATTTGCTGTTCCGTGTTCAATACTTTGTATCTACGTTTTTGTCTCGGTAGATTTTTTTTTTTTTTTTTTGAACTCGTCGATATTAAAATATATTTAATAAGGTGAAAAAAAAGTGGAACAAGATTTAATTTTCTTTGTATGGAAAAACGTGCACCGCTCGACATAATTTCCATAAGCACCGATCGCTTACACTGATTTTATGCATTATTCATCGCACTAATTGTATTTATTATCTTTCGTATCTTTTACATCCATTAAAGTTTACATTTCATTATTTCATCAAACGATTTAATAAAAACTCCCACGACGATTTAACATGTACCAACCTCCTACAAATATAACATATTATTATATTCGGAATATTGGTTTTTAATTCTTAGCAGATCAGCTCTAATATTTGCAAATTAATTCGTAATATTGTTTAGTAAAATATTTTAAGGCTGCGGAAATGCCATATTATTGTTGTTACTTATTTATAACACGAAATACCGGAAAACGAATCCTCGACGTTGGTGTAGCTATATAGCCTACGCGTAACGCCGTCTTTAGTGGTGTATGAATATTACACTTAAAATAGAAGATATTTCACAGATAATCTCAGATATTTTTTTTTTTGAGGAAGGTTCCCAGGGGGGGGGGAGTAACTAATGAACAGTTAACTATACTAACTACTTCCTTCAAAGTTCTAACCAATGTCTTAGTAACCGCTTGTGTTTAGTATTATCTACTAACACATAAAATAGGGCTTAACTTTTTGGGATTCATAATATTGTTGAAATTTTTATTACATTTAGATTTTGTGCAATTTACGTAGCCTGAATGAGAGAGATGGCGTGCAACGTAACAGGTATTAAAACAAGTTACAAAAAATAATTATTGTACCATTCATTACTCTACTAGCTACAATAAAGTGGTCCTATTCAAAGAAATAAAAAATATTTAGTTGACTTGATAGTTGAATGATAATTGTTTCAGTTGGTTAATAATAAAAAAAAAATAAGAACTGATCAGATAAAACGGATGGTGATGGTATTATGGGGATAGATATATAAAATGCGTGAATCTCACAAAACAAAAATGTTCTGCACGCCTGCAGTTCAACAAACATGCAACAGACCTACATGGTAACAGAGTAAATTAAATACTGTAAATAATAATAATTTTGTAAGCATCCTGAGCCAACATATAGTGCAATATTATGTTCAGAGTGCCCTTTCCCATCATATGCCTAAGCGGCCTAAGCGACTTCTACTCGATACCAGCCTATCCATCAAATTATTATTAACAACAATATACTTGGAATGGACTGAAATAGTTGGAGAAGTTTGAAAGAAGAGTGCAAATGATAGCCTATATTGCATTAATATACATAAATAATAATTATTTATAAATAAAGGCTGAAAAAAGCATTTCACAGGCCACTGACTACACTTTGCGTTCTGCTAAATCAAAAAGTTTTTCATATACTTGTAACTGGTAAAGATAACTATCATTTATATTTTAAAATATTTCACTATTTTCTTGAACATAAATAATAGCACACCACATTTTTGTAATCATTTTCAAAAATATGAAAATATAGTTTATTCAGTATTATGTCCAAAGTATATATTCAATGATTTTAACTTTTAGACCAGATAGCCAATACATGCGTTAAATATTATACTACTGCATTCTCTTAAATCAAAAAGTTTTTCCTATACTCTAACGCAGTAATGAAAAATAACTATAATTTATATTTTGTAATAATTTACAATTAACTTGTTGAAAAATTACAGCACAAGACATTTTCTTAAACAATTTTATACACATAAAATAAATAATATACTTGACATTACGTCTCAAGAATAATATTAAGCTCAATGTTTTTATTTTTTTGACCGCCAATCAATAAACTCGTCCACGTCAGAATCATCTGATTCTTCGGTTTCATCTGGTTCATTTTTAATTTCCATGTTATTCATATTTTCTGTAGCCAAAGCAATTTTTTCTCTTTTCTTTTCCAGTTCGATAACTCTATAATATAAACAAAATAATATAAATAATATAGTCAATTATTAAGAGTAAATGCATATTTATCAAAGCTTGTTTGTTTGTGGATAACTATAAATGGTTTACTATTGCTAAAATAAATTACTGCATTAAACGCTACAACAAAATGTGATAATTCAATAATTGTTGAATCAGAGTTTGGCAAAAAAAAATGATTAATGTCAACTTTGACACATTTACACCTATGTTTAATAAAATATAATTTTAAGCTATTAGAACATATACAAATATAAGGAAAGTATAAAGTGTATTGATTATGATATAATTTTTTAAATCAGACAAGTTAATAATTGTTAAAAATTATTAGTTGTTAATGATAAAAAATAATAGGTATATGAATAGATACCACATAAATGTATATAAAGTTGAATTAAATATTTTTTTAAACATTTTAATGATCTTTTTAAGCTAAAATGTTTATTACATACTTTTTAAATGCTAATTTATATCCAACCAACTACATTTTAAGAATTTTATATCAACAAAACTATAATATAAACTTATTGTCCATATCTTTCATACTCAACTAACACTAATTAGTTATTATTCATAGAATATAAAACAATCTAAAATATTATCACGATTATGACAGCCTTCTTCAAGAGAGTGCTCATTTGGTGAGAGAGTGAACATTTCATATCCCCCTCCCTCTTTGGATTATTTTTGTCTTTAAAATATAAAATAAAGCAATGCAGATACATTTACTGCTATAAAACGTGGTCTGAGAATAGTCAAAAATTCATATCTGCCTTTCCACATAGAGCTGAGCACACCACTGATTGTCTTAATTATTAAAATGAAACATACTTTGACCAATGTTTGATTTGTTCATCAATTTCTTCTACTTGTCTTCCATAAGTAGTTTCATCTTCATTATCTGCCATTATCTGTTCAGATAACATATTCTCTTCTTTAATTTCTTTTTGAAATTTTATAAATTCTTCATCTATTGAGTTAACATATTCCTCTTTTCTAATCTAATAAAACATACAAAACGGCATAACATTTAATAATGAAATATTACAATCATTTATTAACTAATGCAAGACCCACTTTAGCATCCAACATTGGATCATCAAAAAATCCTTTGGGTAGTTCACCTCTGTCGAGATTTAAATCATCAAGAGTCTCTTGTTGTACATCCATTTTTTCATCAGTTTCTTGATTAACATTTGTATTTTCTGATGAGGCTGGAATGGGGCTTTCGAAGAAATCACTAGGAACTTTTTCTGGAGGAGCTTTATAATTTTTTAAAATACCTAAGTAAATGCATTAAAAAAATATATTATATATTTCAAATTAGATATATCTTAATAAAGATATAGAATTTCAATTAACCTTTTAATTTTTTTGGAGGTACAAAACTTTCTTGTTTAGGCAGAGTTCGTTTTAAGCTTTCTGTAGTAACCGCTAATCTTTCAGTCATTCTTGATGATTCTGGTTTACGTTTGGAAATATTTTCTTTGTGAACTTTGGAAGAGATATGAACACTCCACGAAGAATCATCTTTTATGTTCAATTTACACACAACACATGACAACTGACCACTTATGCTATATGTGTACGCCAATAATTAAGGATTTTAATTCAACCAAATAATACCATGCATAAATTTATTTACATTTATTATCAAAAGTTATAATAAGATAGGTACCTATGTTCAAATATTAAGTTCACAATGATGAACATATTAATTATAATCAAATTTACTTTTAGATGTGTATGGGATATTTGACTCATAGTTATAATAAAAGAAATCAAAGTCAAAATTTCATAGTAAAACTTGCATCTTGAGAAACTAAGAATTGTCATTGAATGTGCAAAATAAAAAATAAAAATATATTGGAGAATCAAATTTTAATAATTTTCATTTGATTTCTGATAATCAGACAAATTAAATTTATTCATATTATTCATATCAGTTTAAATAAATTCATTAAATTCTCAATATACAATCCAATATTATCAAATTTTTTCTCACAGCAGGGTTTTGCATAAAAAAACAATTTCTAAAATTACCCACTAAAATAAATTTTAACTCAATTTGTTAGGTATTATTATATTAATAGTAATTACACAATATTTAACATACCTAATTATTATGTTGATAAGGAAAGAATCAAAGACATAATAGAATTCTATTCTATTGCCTATATAATGAACACAGTATTAAATTGTAAAATTACTACTTGATACAGAATAGTATTTCCAACCTTGTAATAAATTTTACGGACTACATAATAATTTATAAGAATTAACAAAAAGTGCGAAATGCACTAAATGCAAAAATTAGTAAAAATTTTAAAAATGTTAAAAAAGTAATATGGTAGTTAGTTTATCAAACACAGCCATCAGGCAATGCAAATTGATTACAAATATTAAAAGGATATTTTGCTAGAGGCGACTCGATTTTCTTCTTCACCCTTTGGGTCTGTAGTTTTTGCTTGAGCATTAATAAACGCAATTCATTCTGAGACACTTGTTTCTTCTTCGCTGCACTCATCGCTGCCATGTTTCACACAACGATTTTTGAAAACTCACAAATAAATTCAACACATGCAATACAACAAGACAATCGTAATTTATTTAAAACTTAACATTCGTAACGTAACATGCAAGGCACAATTAATGAATTGACATATACTATTATAATTTATAAGTACAGACAGTCACTAGCACAATTGAAATTCAAGTTTTGACCAACAATTACAAACGACATCAATAATCAACATAATATTATTATCAAATTTGTTATCTTTTCAGCGTAGATCACGGATAGAAGATAGCACACATCGAAATTTGAATACCACTTTTTGATAATTTAGTGACCTAACCACAGAATAAACCACAGATATTAAGATATCTTAATTCATGGACCTAACTTAACCGTAACTTCAACCGTGGAATGGGTAAACCATGATAAAAGAACATGATATTATGACAATGAAGATTTTCAAGAAAGAATTTGGAGTGTATCGGTACGCATTGGGTCAATTTTGAGCGTTCAAGATATTACACGTGCAATATACAAGCGATACGTACCGACCCGTATCGGACTCGAACTCCGATACAAGGTGGTACGTAACTATTTCGTATCGATACGTATCGAATTTTTCTTCTTGAAAATCTTGATCTTTTCCAAATAATTGACGGACTGCGCACACAAATCGCGGTTCTTTTGATTGGTCAATAGATTCCCGCCAAAATGTATTAATTTTAAATACTTTATCATCATTTATCTAAAATAAATAGTACATTTCTATCATTTAATATACTATTAAATTATTATCTTAATCATGATAAAAGAACTTAGATCTTAGTATTATCTTCCATATTTTTGATTTTTAACTTAATTACCACGGAATAAGTTATTGTGTAAGCTAATGCTGCAAGTTTATTAGTTATCCCTTCGTCATGCCTGTTTGTGTGTATTATGGTTGTACAACCGATAGCAAAAAAAAATCGATTATAAAGGATACCTCGGTGCATATCCATTCTTTCCCAAAAGATGAACAGCTAAGAACTATTTGGCTCAAACGAATTCATTGGGGCAACAAGAAAATAAAAAATATAAATTTTAATACAGGTATCACTAAAATGTTTTATAGCTAAATTCTACCAAGATTTTTTGTTAATAATTTATTTATTAAAATTTTAGATGTAGTATGTTCCTTACATTTTTCTGAATGCCAATATGTTGAGAAATCTTTGCAACAACAACTATTAAATCATTCTCCTAAACGTAGACGTTTAAAACCAGATGCAATACCTATGAGGTAGGTTTATTATAATTAATAAATAGTTATAATTGTATTATTAAAACATAATGAAATATTTTAGTTCTTATGGTTTTGAGTATGATGACGTACCTTTCTGTAGAAGTACTACCAATACTGTTGATCATGTTAAAACTCCAAGTGGCTTATTTACAGTGACTAACAATAATCTTGAAGTACTGAATAAAACATATAGTAATGAATTTAAAAGTCCTGTTGGTTTATTTACTGTAACTTGTGAGGAAAGGTAGTATTTTATTTAAGCATAAGAATATATATATTTTTTCTTTTATTTATAATAATTTAGTTTTAATATTTCCCTTCTAATTATAATTTAGCCGTGTAAATGATATAAATCCGCAGCCTGAAAGTTATCGAAAGTTTATTGTTCTTTTATCATGGGGTAAACCATTTTAATGAAAAATGTCTGTATTGAACACTAAAAGTGTTTACTACTTTAGTTCTTTGCTGCTGTTACTTGTTGCATTTGCACAATGCACAGAATATCTAAGAAAGCCTGAACCAAGGTAGTTATAATATTATTATATTATTAAAGTATTTTAATCTGTGAGAAGCATAAGTAGTCAATGGTTCAACATTGCAGCACACTGCACACACCGTCACATTAGCCACACGAAAATCCTCAACGGCAAACCTCCGGAGAGACATTCATGGTGCGCGTTGACATGGTTCCTAAGACATAACAATAACACCTAACCTCCAGGTTCCAGATATCGGCTGATGGCTATCGACCATATTTGAGTAAACAAAAGTGTTGTACTGTCGCTTCTATAGAAATAACAATAATATCTTTTATACTTTTATAATAATATATAAATTAACGACTATCGTTTTTACATAATAAACTTGTATGATCACTGTTGAAGACTAAACCACAGTATAAACAATAAAAATGTAATAAAACCTTATTATTTATACAGACTGTACTGTGAAACTGTTGGGTGTTTGTTAATTTGGATGTGGACATGCAAGCAGCAAGCTGATACATTATACGTACACATTCAAGGGTCAAAAAGAGACGAGTGATGAAGTATGACTAGATGGAGGCAAAGAGTTGTATTTATCTACATATGTATATAATTTTATGTGCATTTTAAAATATTGAAAACATTGCTTATATGATATTTAAGGTAAAATTTATCTTGATACTTATATTGTAGCTAAAAGTACGACTTAATCTAATAAGGTTTTTTGTTTATACTATTAGGTTGAAGGCGTACCCATATTGAAAATAGCATAACACCTGCAAATGTTTAAAACTATACCCCAATGTTTCTTCACTCGCTTAAACCTGAACTACAATAAGACTATCAAACTTTAACTCAAGATTACAGAACAGGTAACTTATTCTGGCAATTGTAGTGGTTTCACATTAAAGTGCATTGACTTAATAAGTTATGGTATACAAGAATTTCAAGCATCTAAAGATGCACCATTAGGTTTATTAGTAACTAACCTTTTTTAAAAATAAATGAGGCTGCTGAATTTTTTGGTTCGAGAACCATTCCAAAAGCATGAAATATTCAGCTAACATTTAACCTAACTAAAAATAAAACTTGTTATGGAATCAGATGTGCAGGTTTTGATAACTTGTTGTTTGATTTACATTGGTTGATATCTGGTAGTATCAGAAATAATTGAATTTTTATTCAGCTCGATTGCTTATACTGCAAGTCACTGTAGTTGTCTCTCGCATAAGAATTTACTTCTTTAATGGAAAAAATTAAGTTTAAATGTTAGATTTCTTCAAAGACCCAAGTATAGAAGTCGTCAAACTCCATCAACTATTGACTCAAAAAAGGAATAAAACTTTGACCAACACTAAGGAGAAATAGACATTGTGTAATGAGTAATGACCTATGATTGCAATGGTTTTAAATTCGGCCAACTGAAAGAAAAGAATCATTTTGGAATCAACTGTGTGTATGTTTTGATAATTTGTAGTTAATCGACTACTTATCAGTTTTATAAAAATTATTCTAATAGTATTTACATTCAAAATAAAGTCTATGTTCAAACTATTTAAAATTGACTTGAAAATTATTACACTTTGTCATCTATCACCATTGTACATCACCATCTGTAGGCTGGACCACTACAGACATGATCCGACACAATAGTTGTGAATGCGCCTTTAATTTGTATTCAAAGTTTGATTAATTTGTGATGAATGATTTTGGAGAATATAAATTTAGAATAAATGGAATATAATGAAATTTGCTAATAAGTTAAGTTTTATTATAACATTTATATAATAATAAAAAACTTTTTATACTCTATTATGCAAAACAAATTTTCGTTTCTTTTATTTCATACAATTTGCTTCGGGTGAAAATATATGCAGTCATGCAATTATTGCATATAATATAAAAAGTAAATTATTCAAAAATGCATTCATTATTTAGTGTCTAAATCTTTCTAATGCCTAAATTATATTTAACAGCAATAAATTGTTACACATTTATGAGTCATTCATTATTGTATTATTATATGAACTATTTGTCATAACTCATAATGTCGTTATTATTAATATATTGATATGATATTTTGTTAATTTTAAGTAAAACATGTAAATATTTTTCATATGGCCATGGCTGTTTTTATTATATTATACATTATTTTTTTTTATATATATTAAATATCAGCATCAGTTGTTTAACTAATTATTCAAAAAAAAAAATCAATCAATTCTGACTTCTGAGTGTCATTAATGGATGACTTCTCACGTCAAGCGTATCATGATGTAAATTACCTACTCTAATCATATGAACTTATTGTGCCCCTAAGGTATAGATTATTTATCTCAAATAAAGAAGAAAAAAAATATATTAAATATTAATATTGATTTATTTCAAATAAGGAGATAAACTAAGTTCACTAAATTTATTTGTAATTGAAACTGAACTAGTAAACAAAATGGACTTCGATGCCATAATAGATGATTTTGCGACTCAAAAGTCGAGCAGAAAGCCGATGAATACTAGGCACTATTTAATTTTGAATATAATATTTAAGTATTTTTTACTACCATGTTTTTTATCATTTTATTTTATATCATATTTTTTATATTTAAGTTTTTTTTATATAAATGTACATGTATGCATTTTTATAACAGCTGTATATTTTATTTTGCATAATTAAAATTTATGCTTTAATAACATTTTTTAGACTCGAAAAATATTTATATTAAAAAGCAGCAATTTGTTTAGGTGCTTAAAGCGGCACAATGGTTAAATGTGGCACTGTTTATTTGGCTTATAGCAAATGACTAGGAGAGCAGTTTCAAACCGTCGAGTTGATTCAACCCACTTTAATCATACAAAATTAACTAGGAATTGTTATTGTGTTATTATAGGTACTTGAAATTAAAAATAGTGTTGTATAAAGATATACACATTATTGTTACTTACACGTTTTTTTATAAGTGTTTAAAGTTCCAATTTTAACAAAGTTTGATACTTAAACTAAACTATAGCTTCTTTGTTGCATTTCAAAAAAATATTGATTATAGAGAATGAAACTTTACCATAACGTCCATAACTTACCTATAACAGTAATTTCAAATATCTATAAGTATAGGTACTCTTAGAAATTAAATAATAAAAATATTTATTACAATAGTAATTTATTTACCACAAACTCATCCACACAATATTACTGTAGGCGCCCACTGTTAGCTGTTGGATTCATAACTCGTATGTTAGTTTCCAATGTTTTTGGCAAAAATGAGCTCAATGAATGAAGCTCCTTCGTTCAGAATATTTTTTCATATTATGCAATGATTTATCAATACATAATAAATAAATTTTAATCGAAAACATAACCTGTACTATACAATGACAAAGTGAGTTCTACAATTTGTAACACCAAAATCTTATTCTCTTATGATATGTGTAATGTGATATAATTTTTATGAAATGACGATTTAGTTTAGATCATGATAAATTAGCTTTAGTCGATGAATGTCAGAATGTCCAACCAAGGAACGATAGTAATGAACATAATATTAAATTATGTGATATTATCAACACATACTATTACTGGTTTCTAGCAGAAGTAATCAATTTAAGAATCAAATTACATCATCATACAAAACTATGGGTTTTTACATACAGATACCTCTAAGTTACCTATATGTTTGAATTTGCAATATTTAAATACAAAATAATAAACAAATCAACTTAAATAGATAAGGGTACTTTCCTTATTTTTTTTTTTTTTTTGACTTTTTTTGAAAGTTTCACCATTTGAAATATGCAAAAGCCTGTGTTTTGAAAAAATTCCCAAAAACAGCTCAGAGAGGAGCTAAACTACATCATTTCTAAATCTTTTCATGCAGTCTGCGGTATACTGGTATACCCATTTGGCTTATGCCAATATTGTTCCAATCATTTTTACACATGCTGACAGGCTGTTTCAAAAATGTGATCAACATGCCACTAAGTTTGTATCAAAGTTGCCAATTCGGAACTTTTCTGCTTTACCGGACACCCCCACTTTGTTGCAAGAAAAAGGTTGTCCGGTAATGAGGAAATATACCGCCAATTTTAGCAGTTTGTCAAAATCAACACCATTTAAATGCTACAAGACGCGAGAACTAAGAATCTATATTATACCACATCATGTCCATATTGTACAACGTCATGATCTAAGCTGTGGCCTGTGAACTGACTAAAAGTGACAAAATATGACAATATTGACGATGGTTCTACGGTTGGAGGGGTGAAGGGAAAATAAATAGCAATTAGCAATCCAGCCCCTAGCGCTACCTATGTTATATAGTCATAATATTATAAACGTGTCACTAACTCGCCACGGCTATTATAGATAATATAATATTATCAATGATAATCACGAAAATGTGAAATTGTATTACCTACTATTATAGTATTATTAATATATTCTTATTTGTCTGTACTAAAATACTAATATCAAATTATCAGTGCTGAATCGGTAGTAATAGTAGAGGGGCACGACTATGACTGTGCACTAGAATTTTGGAATTTCGTTTTATAATAGTTTAATGCTTGTGGGCTTCAAGAAAAAACATGTCTAGCATTTACGCCGAGAAGAAACCGAGCGATCGGTCCAGGTACGTTGATCTGTCGATTCGACAAGTGCTTGGTATCTGGTAGGTACCTATTTATGTACCTACGATATTAACCGACTTTGTTTCCGTTGTAGGTGGATATGCATATACCCAGCGTATTTGAACAATAAGAAAACGTTGGCCGAGGGACGTATTGTGCCAAAAAAATTTGCCGTGGAGAATCCAACTTACCAAGAGATCCTCGAAGTGGTCAAGGCGTCCGGTTTCAACGCCGAAGTCGAAAACAAGCAGTATTCCCGCGAATGTAGCAAAGAATGGCACTTCCGCGGTCGGATACGGGTACAGCTCAAGAATGATGACGGGACACCTTTCAACCAAACGTTTCCTTCGAGTGAGTTTTTAAAAATTGACGTATTGAGAAGTAGTAAATACAGATTTTAAAACTAATGCTGGAATTTCAGTCAATCCCTCTTAAATTTATGATTTATTAAGATGCACAATCATTCCAATCCCAATGTAACTATTGGAGTAGATAGGTACCCTGATACACAATTACGACAAAACCTAATAAACTTAACTAAACACAATATTGAAATTTTTAATGATGTTGTTGTGATACTCTGAACGGAAGTGTTTCAATGGTTTTATTGTTGACCATAGTGTTTGTTAGTTGACTTTCAGTATTTAACATGGAGAGTGTTAAAAGTTTAAAACTGTTGTGAAACATTGGACTACTTCACCAGTTTTTGCACACCTCAAGGCGACAAAGCTTCATTCACACGTAGCAGAACTAGAAGGAAATTTTATTAATTTGTTAAAATCAGGATATACCGTTTTTGAAATGCTAAATTTCAAGTGTTTTGCAGAATTTCACATTTGCCACTTAGGTATACTTGTAATAACAGTTCTTTACAACAGTCATTCATTTTGATACCAACAACTAATAAGTAATAATTAATTACCAATAAAGAATAATTTTTAAAAGAAATATGAAACTAATATAATATTAAAAATATTTCAGGGCTATACTCCCTCAAGCCCCCCCCCCCCCGCCCCATCCTCAATATCATCTAAATTAATTAATTCCTATTTTAATTGTTTAAATATGGTATTAGGTAAGTATATGAGTATTATGAAAAATATATCTTGTTTTTATAATAAATCAGTTGTAAAACAGTAAAAACCCCCTTTTCGTGTAAATATTAATACCTACCTAAAAATAATTATAATTGCAACAATAGTAATGAAATTCAGTGCACAAATTCTAAAAACTCAATATCAATACCTATACATTTCTGTGATAACTTTGAACTTCGCTTTAAACCGAAATCATTACAACAATAATTTATTATCATCTTTTAATTTTCTCTAAGTTAAGACATTTTTTGCAATTTGTTTAGTAATAGATTCATTTTTCTACAGCTATGAATGTACTTGGGTATTTTCATTATTGACATCTCATTTTTTATTTGTGTATGTTTTATCAAATAGGTACTCAACTTTATTGTTAAAAATGTAAAAATTGTGTTTCAGGAGAGAGTTTGATGAAGCATTGTGGTGTACAAATACCCAAACTAAAAAGTCGTGTTATGAAGGTACCAGGCCCCGAGCAACAAAACAAAAATGAACCAAGTGGAAGCAAAAAGAAAAAAGGCCGTAAATAGAATACCACCAAGGAAATGATTTTATTTAAACTCTAACATATTATTTTATTTTAACGCATTTTTGTGATGAATTAAGTTGTGCAACTTTATTACAATATAAATAATACAATGTTAAGCTTGATGTTTTATTTTTATTTTTTTTTATATTCTATAAATGTATTTAATTATAACAGACATTTAGGTAAATGTAAAAAAAAAAATCATTAAAACAATAAAAGTATATTTAGAGTTTAATGTTTTACTAACAAAGGTTCAAGTTAAAATTAAACACTAAATTACAAATTATCCAAATAAGGTGTAGTTGCTACATTACCGTAACCAGCCAACGACAACTTGCTACCTGCTACTTTGCTGGCTGCTTTCTTTACATCTTCAACAGTAACTGCTTGAACAGCAGCAATTAACTTTTCAAATGGAATTACTTGTCCAGTGGTGGCAGCTTGATGAGTAATATTTTCTAAGATTCCGGCACTAGATTCTGATGCTGATACAAGAGAGAGAATCAATTGGTTCTTGGCCCTGCTCACTTCGGTTTCAGTAACTGTAGGACTCCTTAGACTCTGTACCGCAGCCTTTAATACATTACTGACATCTTTGCCGTTGTATGCTAACAGGAAACCAAAAAGACCGGAATCTGAATAGTTATAGTTTACGGCGGATACAGCAAAGTTATCTGAACAGTTTGTTTTTAAGATATTTTGTTCCAAGACTCCTTGTCCAACTCCCCATTTTACTGATGATCCTTTGCCAAGCAAGTATTGAAGTACTGCGTATGAGGCGCTTTGCGAATCTTTATAGCTTACTCCTTCGCCAACGACGGCCAAATAGGTGGAGTCCAATGGCTTGGACTTCCTCAGGTCCCCGCCAAAGTATTTGGATTTTGGTGAACAGTTTGCGTCTCCGTTGGGCAAACACAAGTCTTCCGAAACGTGCACCAGTGTGTCCATGTCAACGCCGACACTAGATATGATGGCGTTTTGGTTGGTGAAATTTTTCTTGACATAATACAAGAGATGTTCCGATCCCAGTTTCTTGATGTTGTATTTGGGCACGAACACAGTGTTGCCGAGGGAGTTCCTGTAAGCTGCCTTGTGTGCCAAGTCCAAAACCCTCAGCTCGGGCGACACGGTCAGCAGTTCGTATTGCAAGCGTTTCGAGTTGTCGGACAGCTCCCAAGGCTTGAACGTCTGGTTCGAAATGGATTCAATGTAGTACTTGAGACTGCTGACGAGGTTGTCCTTGTGCGCCTCGATGGTGTAAGTGATCGTCTCGCGGTCGGATGTCACGTAGTAGTTGGTGCCCAAGTGACCCAAGTTCCGGATGATCGAAAACGTGGACGACGACTCGGTGCTGAGCCCGGCCGAGCTGCGGACCAGGTGAGCGATGCCCGCGTTTTCCGGTTCTTCGTACCGCGATCCGGCCAAGAAAGTCACCGACACCCGACCGATCTTGGTCGGATGGTCGGGGACGGCTACGACCAGCGAGTTGTTGGGCAATTTTTTCGTCTGCACCTGCGGGCCCTTGATGGACAGCGCCGCCGCCTTGTTGGCGTAACAGCGTTTGGCGAAGTTGTTCATGACGGGGGTCTTCAACGTTGACATGGACATCTTATGCGGACCTATATACGATTTGTCGGTGAACTATTTGATCTTGAGCACGAATTGCGCGATTCACAATTGCGGGTAGAGTAATCGCGTTAGGGCAAACGGGTAGCTGAACGAAAATCTATGATTGAAAAACAGCTGCAATGATAACAAGCTCGCCGTTTGTTTAAGCTCTTTGGAATATTTTTACAAGAAATCGTGATAACATAATGCACGGTTATTGATACTGGAGAGCCTTATTATTGTTCTGTGCTAAAAAGACACCAGTTGTATTTTTATTGTTATATGCATGAAAAGTCTAGAGATGAGTGGGTCGAACTCTACCAAAAAAACGTCCCGTAAAACATCGCTCACAAATTTCTCCACCAGTCAGCGTGGCGGTCAAATCCGAGGCCTATTCAGAGTGTAATTAATTTATTCGTATTAGATAGGGACATACTCGACTTTATTACCTTTAAAGTTTTAACAATTATAATTAGAAAACTAAAAATCATATTTTAAATTTTAATTACACCATCGTATTCAGCGAAAATGTATCATTAAATTACTAAAATAATATTAGGGTTCAATATTTACGTAATAAATGTTCATATACGTAAATAGTGAAAATAGGTAGGTAAACTGTTACGTTTACATAATATTTGCACAATACTAGAATTGAAATATGATTTGACTATTTAATATATTATACAATTGATCGCTTAAAAAGAATCTTTCTTTCGTCACCAAGCAATGATGTAGGAAAATAAACTCTTAATTTTAATTGTTAAACTTTAATTAACTTAGTTTTTCAAATTGAACATTGCATACATTTTAAACCACAAAATGATTTGCAAATGTTCAAGATTTTCATAAATGTTGTCAAAATTTTAGTTTTTTATAAGCTTCAAAAAAAAAACCTTGTAGTGTAAAATCTTTAATACTTTTAAACTTATATTAGGCATAACAATTCATAGAGAATTTTACATTAAATCTTCAAGTTTCTAATATCGACAGCAGTTTAAAAAAAACATGTATGTAATAACTGAAAAAGAGTTAAAATTGTATGATGCATGTATAGTAATAAACATTTTATGAAAATCCAATGAATCCTATGGTTATTTATTTTTGATTTATAACAAAAAAAACATCCATTTTGTCGTATTAAAATTCATTTTTTTTTTGTTACTTAAAAAAAAACTACCAACAATTTCCTGTTTTTACCTTTTTTTCGGTCCCAATTAGATTCAATTTTTTTACCAGAAACCACTATTTAAAGTTGGAAATCGAAGCATTATTTGACTACCTTTTTATCGTGTACATAGACTCAAAAAATAAAAAAAACATTCACTCAGCGGCTCAGCTTAGAATCCAAAATATAAACTTTTAACTAACAATTAACTTACTAATCATACAAAATAAAGTTTACCCACCTACATATTTTATACCCAGCATATTATAGATAAGTGGGTACTTTTTTATAATAAAGTTATTTAAAAAAAACCCTTTAAGTAGAATTTTTTTCTAAAACCTTGCAGGTAACTCGAAAAAATTGCATTTCCGTTGAATTTTGATTTATCGAGGTTCCATGTATTAACATTCGGTGAGATCTGAACATTTGAATTATTTAAGGTTATTTGTTGTTTTTGAGTTACTCAAAAAAATTAAATGTATTTTGTCAAAAATGCATTTTGTGTAAAAATGCTCATGTTTCCTTAATTTGTTTTGTTTTTTTCTACAGCTTTTGAAAACTACTGAGAATTTTCAATTTTAATACCTCAAATTCATCAATTAGATTTACTTATTTCCTGTCAGAACAAATGCTGAAGTAGTATCCCGGAACATTTTTACTCTTCCAAAAGTTGACGATCGACAGAAAATAAACCATAGCACGGTACCCTATATTTTTAATCTGCAAAGAAAATCAATGACCCTTAAATATGTTTTTGCTGAAGCCCCCCAATAAGTTTCCCGATGGCGGTTTGCCCACTTCTGCATAACTCCATAACTGTGTGGCGACGCTATCTAATTAGGAAATTGAGCAGTTGTGATGGCCAGTGACTGCTCTATTCCTTAAAACTATTCTTCGCGTACGTGTTAGAGTTTAAAACTATTTGACGGCCTCAATATTTAGCTCGTCATAGCTTCTTTGCAGTTATCTGGGTTTGAATTATCTTATTGTTATTATTGATCTTACCCCATTCCCAGACGATAGCTTGTTCTCTTCGGATCTTAGGAGGAGCTATATTGCTAGTCATTAATATCATCATATTGAAACAAAAATGAACACTTTGCTACCCCAAGTATAATATAAATAAACAATGGGCAACAGTTGGCGTTATCAACAGTGAAATAAAATGATGGTAACTCAGCAGCCCGGAAATTGAATACTTAGTCAAACAATTTTACATTTTATAACTTATACATTTATATGGGTGCAGAGCCCCATGGGTACTTAGGCTACTATTAATTACGTTAGTCCTTCGACAAATTACACCAAATGCAAAATTGAACGTACAGTGGGTATTCGATTTTATTTCAGAGAAATTCTATTATGGTTTTTGAGTAAGTAGTTATACCACTCTGTTCTACTTAGAATTATTGTAAATGTGGCTTTTAGAATTTTTTTCATTTCGAATTCAATACGTGTGATTACAAATGATCACGACAATTGGTTACTGAACACTAAATAATTATATTGAAATGTTTGAACAGATTGTTTGTTGGTGCAAATGTTGATGTAAAGCTGTGCCCCACCCAAAGTAAAACAGCAAATGTTGCCATGAAGGGATTTGTATTACGAATTACAAATTAGCGATTATACTTCGTGAACGGGTTATTCAAAATGAAAAGTATAAACTTCAAAAATTGTTTTATATGTTTCTGGTATTAAAAATAGGTGTAAACACATAAAAAAATCAATAGCTACCGAGGTTGCCACCTCAGATATCATACAGTGTTTACGATAAATACACCGGTACCAAAAAATTAGAGAATTTATTGTACTTAAAAACGAATAATTTTCAAAATATTGACAGTGTGTCCTTTGATAAAAGTACCCATATAGTATTACCCATGGCCAATTACCGGTTATTTAGCCACGGTATTACCTAACCTAACCTATCATATACGTGCATGCGACCCGATCGCCAACAGAAGACACTAATAATTATTAATTAACCACCCATTTTGTTTTGTTTTGCTATGACAACACAATAATATTATAATTACATCGTAATACCATGTCACCATCATCATTATTCATTATACCTACTGTACTTTACACGCTATGATAATTACGTGTACCTATTATACGTTATTTAGTTATTATATGTATATCAATAACGTCACATATTTTGCGAACAGAATTCCATTCTTCGTGCGCCTACGCCCATGACCGCGATTTCCAAATCGCATTTAATAATTAATGTAACGATAATATACAATATTATTATATTATATTTATAAGGATTGCTCGCTACGGAGGCACCTGCAATGTGTCCGCGCTCGTGACGCACAAAGTACCTACCCATGTCCTATATCTAATGTATATATAAGTTATAAAATTATTATTTTTATCATTACCAGAGCACGCGTATATATAGGTACAATAATTATTAAAGTTTCTAAAGGTCGGCTGAATGTTACGTACATGCCGCGATAATTGACGGTAATAACCATATACGCGTTAACGTGTACAAGTACGACGGCGATACGAGGCCGACACGAGAAGTTTCCTGGTATACTTACACGATATATATTGACATTGCATCGATCGCCGCGGACGACAGATTCGCCGCGCGAGAACTGCAGCGCGTCGTTAAATTATATACCACGGCGCTGTACACGACATATACCACGACGCTATACCACGGTGCCGCACACGACCTGGTATTATATTTTATGATATCGTACCGCGTATACACCGCACCGGAGAAGTACCGTATTATTATTATTATTATTATTATTATTATTGTCATATATTATTATAGCGATGCCGAACGCCTGCAGCCACCGCAGCGGCCGCCGAAGCGATAGCACGGGCGCGGCCGCGATGCTGTGCCGGGCGGTGGTCTCCGCGGCCTGCTGCTTGCTGCTGGTGGCCGGCCCGTGGACGCCGCCGCCGGTCGGCGGCATGAGGGTGTTGGCCGTGGAAACGATCGCGGGCAAGAGCCACTGGAACTTCATGCGGGCCGTGCTCCGGGCGCTCACCGACGCCGGCCACACGGTCACGGTGTTCACGCCGTTCCTGGACGGCGGCCGGGACAACTACACGGAGGTGGACATATCTGCGGCGTTCCGCATGAAACTGGACGTGGACATGGCCGAGGTGATGGAGAAGCTCGTCGAGCCGTCGTCCATACTGCCGCTGATCGTCACCGTCAGCCGGTCGCTGTGCGACGCCATATTCTTGGACGACCGCATGAAGGCAGCGATGCGGCCTCCCGCCGACCGCGACGCGGGTTACGACGTGGTCATCGTCGAACCCATGGGCTCGGAGTGCGTCTCGCACGCGGCCACCGTGCTGGGGCTGCCACTGGTGTTCGTCGTCCCGTCGCCGATGATAAGCTACCACGAGGGCTCGTTCCTGGGACACGTCCCGAACCCGGCCGTCGTGTCCCACGTGATGGCCGACCACGCGGTGCCCAGGACGTTCGTCCAGCGGTTCAGCAACGCTGTCCTGTTGGCGTACAGTGTGTTCGTCGTCCGGTACACCGAGTGGTCGCTGAAGCGCGCCGATGCGCCAAGAGCGTACGACATCCTGGCGCCCGTCCGCCCGTCAGCGGTGTTTGTCAACAGCCACTTCGCTACCGAAGTCTCCAGGCCTGTACCACCGAACTTCGTACACGTCGGCGGACTGCATTTGGAAAAGCCGAAGAGCTTGCCGGCTGTAGGTGAACCTGCACACAGTATAATAATAATAATATATATTTCTATGTCAGTGTGGCTTTGTGTGTTTCAAACATTTTTTACGCGACGAGCCCGATTAAAAAACCATAAAATCAAGTGAAAAATCATGTAGGACCGTCGATTCAAAACTTCAACGATTTAGCAAACTTAAATAGAAACTTACACAATTTGTGATTTTGTAGGTTTTGATTTCAGAAACTTGGTTGAAATATGAAAAGATACGCTGTTTAAAAAATATGCATGTTGTTCACCCTCGACATATTTTGAAATCGCTAAATTAAATGCACTTCACTGCTGCTAAATACAGCTAAACCCCGGTTCAATCTGAAATTATCTCCTTTTAAAAATGCCGAAATTCTACAAGTGCGTATAGTTTTATTTTTTAGGACGTCGTTGTACAATGCAACACCCGCTGACTGCGTTTTAAGTATAGAGGTATACCATTGGTTAATTATATGGTATATAGAGGCGGATTTTCGTTATACCATGTCATGTTTCGTATGTCATATTTTTGAAATAATATTTTCAAGGTAACAAAATGTCGGTAACACGAGTACACGCCTACAGAGTAAACTACGTGTAAATTACAAGTGTACGGAACACGACCCGACATGGCGTAGTAGAAATCTGGCTAAAGATGACCAGATGATAATATATACATGTGAATATGTGATATAATTAAATTATAATCTGATAAAATACGCGGACAATAATCGATTATATACTACCTTTATGTACAAAAATACGGATTAAAGATAGTAAAATAATTAATAAGGAATACGCATAGTAGAAATATGCGTAGTATACATGCGGCATAATATTTAATCGGAAATTACAGACGTCGTTAAATGCGCGAAAATCGTAAAATAAAATCCTTAATATTTTATTAACACAATACAAAAACAGGCTGAAAAATTATGGCTATTGGCTGTTAAAGTCGCTGGGAATCGCGTTGCACATGGTGTGGTGATGGTCTCACAATATGAACTTGTACAACAAAGTTTTACTATACGGACACAGTAGTTTAAACCGAAGTCTGCAGCTGTGTGTGTAGTTTGATTCTATAATACACGCATTCAACGAGCAAGCGAATTAAATCTATATCATACGATTTAAATTTAATTAACTATATATAATACCTATAACGCCCGAGACGTAATATTACAAAAGTGTTGTATTCATTTCCCACGGTTGAATATATACATATATTGAAAATCGATGAGACGGGGCTAAGACGTTTGGATTCTAAGTCTGTTTAAAATAGTGTTGTGATTACTTATCGCGTGTCGTAATCACGCAGTTCAAATAGTTAAATCATATTATTATCTTAGAAGCGTAATGTACTGCTCGACTAATTTTTATCTAACTTATATAGGTACCCACCCATTAATCGGCAAGTTATAAATATTAAATTACATTGAATAATAAACAATTATTGATATTAATTGAATATAATTAAAAATACTCCACAGTTTTACAATATATTTTAAACCATCATATCAATCATATTATTTTATTATTATAAATTTTAAAAGTATATTTTAATGTACCGCAACTCTAGATTATTATGATTGTTGATAACTATTACAATAATGAATAAACAGTAGATGTTCCATAGTTCCATATTTTAATAATTCCATTATGCCACTGGGTTTACTCCATCTGGAAGGTCTTACGACTTACATAGCATAGTACTCTTTTTACAGTTGACTCATATTTTTTTCAGGATATTTTAGAATTTATCGACGAGTCCCCGAATGGGGTGATTTACTTTACTTTTGGTTCAGTGGTGAAAATGTCATCGATGCCGGATTATATTGAAAAATCATTTAAAGAAGCATTAGCTCAAGTCCCTCAAAGAGTTTTATGGAAATATGAAGGTCAAATGGAGGACATACCACCAAACGTGATGATAAAAAAATGGTTTCCTCAACGTGACATACTTTGTACGGTTTTCGGATCAAAACTCGTATTATTGTTAAGAACTGTAAACATTTCTTAGCGGATATTTTTATCTTTTTTTCTTAGTGCACCCTAAAGTGAAATTGTTTATCAGCCACGGAGGTATATCCGGAGTTTATGAGACTGTGGACGCTGGCGTTCCAGTTCTTGGATTTCCATTGTTTTATGATCAGCACAGAAATATTGCCAATTTAGTTGACGCTGGAATGGCGATTTCCATGGAACTATTATCTGTGTCTACAGACAGGGTTTTAAATTCTATTTTGGAACTCATTAACGACGAAAAGTAAGTACTTTAAATAAATAGGGTAAATATAAATATATTATAATGATAAATCGTCAAATCATAATTATTAGGTAACAACAATACCTTATAAATTAATAATGGAAAATAGAAATACCTATATGATATTATATTCCTAGTATGTGATAATATTAGTTTATATTAGTTATATGTATAATACACAAGTATTTAACGCAAAATTTCATATAATTTTATAGATACTCGATAAATGCTAAAATCACTTCTGAACGATTTAAGGACCGGCCGATGTCACCAGAAAAATTGATTGTTTACTGGACGGAGTACATACATCGTCACAATGGAGCCCCACATTTGAAATCACAGGCTCATAACCTAACGTGGTATCAGTACTTTCTGTTAGACGTGATTGCAGCAGTATTAATTTTAATTTTAACAATTGCATTCTTTAGCTTTACCATTTTTACAATTATTTATAAATACAGTCTGAAACATTTATACAATTTTAAACCGAAATCTGAGAAATTATCTTAGTTTTAATCTCCCGTCCACGTGGTACGCTTGTCGCTTGTACTCACACAATAACATTGACTATTTATTTATGTACTAAAATTGATCGTGTATTGTTATAATTTATTAGAGAAAATAATATTTTAAATTTCAAAAATGAAACTTACAATTTTTAACGGTAAATACAATTTATTTGGAAAAAAGTTGGCATTAACTTTATATACCTATATATAGTATATACCTATTATAATGCCCGGAAACATAGGCCATTGGGTAGCACGATAAGGAGTTTTTTGTATATGTTTAGTAGGTTTTAGTGTTGGTGGGATTGTAACACATGTTTGTGTATGTGTGGCAAGAATGTATAGTTAAAAACCCAGGTGGTCACCCATCCGAGAGCAAGCAACAACGGCTGGTACGTAGATACGCTCGGAACATTGGCGCGCCTCACCAAGCCACTGTAATATTGCTATACGGTTTTTGTCCAATTTAGTTTATTTTTCGATATTGTTTGATTATATGCCGAATAATATAGACATATTAATTGCATAATTAGTAGAATTTTTTACTCTTATACCGTGAATAGTGGTGAGCTTATTAAAATTCTAAAATCAAATTTAAAAAAAAGAAATAAGTAATAAATATGTTAAATTTGAATTCAATGACGTATAATTATTGTACCTATACGATAAACGATTCCGAGCTAACTAGCTAAGACCAAAGGTTTAATTCATTTTCGCCAAAAAAATTACATTTTATAATGCCATGTGTATAAAATATAATACTATGGGTACTCCAAACGTTTCATATACCCATGAGTAATCTGTTCAAGTTACAACAAAATAGTTAAAACTTTTATTCTTGGTTTTTATATGCAATTTTATATGTAATGTCCAAGTATGAATTTAAAATATATGTAAAAAAACCCTGTTTTTTATAATATATTTTTAGATTTGTTAGTTACAATATGAAATATTTATGACAATCTTTGTTTTTGATTTTAATTCCTTAGCTATAAACAACTAATATTTTTCAAAATTTGAACTTTAACTACTTAAATAAAAATTTGAAATCCTTATTCTTTTCATTGCGCTTAAAAGGAAATAGATTTACGATTTGTTAGATAAACTTGTGACTACCGAGTTCAAAACCTAAAACTCAAAGTAATATAATGTAATTTATTGAATTTAAAAAAAAGAAACATGTATCTATGCATATATATACATAGTATACTTTTTTTTGAAAGGTGATGAAGGTGATAACACTGCCTTTTCAGATATACTGCGTTTTATTATATAAGATTATAACTGTATACCTGATCTTCAAATAAAAAAAAGGATAATGAATTAAATATAAGCTTGTAAATTGCTATTTATAACATTTTACCTTACATTAATATATTAATTAAGGTATTGTAGTCAAGTGCTTTCAATCACTAATAATCATTGTTATATTGTCAGTAGGTTTGCTTAGTATTACATAAAAATGTTGGTCCTTTTTATAAGGGCGACCTTTGGTACTTGTTGCTCCATTTGAAATAATTGTTGCTGTTTATTAGAATAGGTATTAGGTACACATCGATTTATCTCTTGATTCTGTTAATGCATAGCCCCACAGATATAGATAATGAACACGAAAGACGATCATTAGTTTCTGAAATAAATAATAATACATCAATATTATAATTTGATTATCTCAATAATAAATTATTTTCAACTAACTTAAAATTAATTAGTATTTGAATATTTTGATTAGTTCTTAGTATTGCTATTTTCTTTTACAGGTTTCATTAAACATTTGAGAAAATTAAAAACACTAGGAACTGCTTCGTCATTTAACCTAAAATTAGATATCGTCAATAACTTACTAAAAGAAATAATGTTTGTAAAATTGTTTTTTTTTTATAAATATAATATTATGATACACAGCACCTATATAATAAACAATAAAAACTGGAAAAAAACCAAATAGTTTACCTTCGTAAATTAATATTTGGTCGAATAAGGAAGTCTTTTTCAACAAAATTGGCATTACAGTCTTCAAGTCCTATGGTACTTGGAAGGAATACAATTTTCTCTGTGAATAGCAAATAACCACTGATTTCCCCATTCAGTGCATGGAGGAAATCTAAAATTAATTAATTACATATTACTTTAGGTATTCATAATTATTTATTATAACTTCAATGATCTATAATATACCCCATGTACAAGGTGTAACAGAAAGATATGACAAATATCATGTATATCATATATCAGATATGTCATATGTTTCTGTTATACCATGTATATTTGACCGAATTAGTAGATACTTACGAAAAAAATTGCACTTGTCTCGCCCATCTCTATTAGAAGAACTCAACGCATAGCATGAAACTGTTTAAATTATTTAAAATTGAATGGAAAAACATTGTATCTTATAACATAATATTTATTAATATTGTCGGTGCCCTTTGATCACGTTATACTCATGAAACCTCGATACAGATTTTGAAATTTTGACTGGTTTGAGAAAAGTAATGGTAGTTTACTTGATTAATATTGTTGGTTACCAACCAACCCCCTTGTAATCAATTACATAGCATTTAAATCATTTAAACAACGAAAAAGAAACTTAAAGCTCAAATAATTTAAATTTTGAAGTAAGCTAGATATTCTATAGGTAATCTGAAGTAGTGGGTACTTTTCTTATTCTGAATAGAATGCAATATTGCATTATTGCCACTGTTTCCTTGAGACTTGGAGGGATGAGTAAATAGATTTTTTTTCAATAGCTGAAAGGCATCTCACAAATAGCGAGACATATCATATAATTGCTGCATACTAGGTTGGCTTGGCGCAGGGGTAGGCCGAAGACACTACTGTGTTATGAGGCCAAGCACTGTCTTAATCAACCATAAGACCTCCTACCCCACACAATTTTGGCCATAGTTCACAAAGTTTAAGATTATTGAAAAAAAAAAACTATTTGCGCCTAAATACTATAATTATAGATTTTTTAGTAAAAACACTAAGAACCATAACTTGTCGATTTCAAACCACAGATTTATTAAACATCATAATATTATGAACTAACACTGTATAGATATAGGTACCTAATAGGTAAACGTATATTGAAAAAAAACGAATCACTACCTTGAGTACACAACATTTTTTGGGATAAAATGTGACGAAAAGTGAATAAAGATCACGGTTATTATCTATAAGTAGTTCAATAAAAATACTATTTATTTAAATAATATCCAATATCTATAGTTATTTTTCGTAGATTATAATATCTATTTTATCCCGATCTATGAAATGTCAACTCTATCTTGGAATTTCCGCACAATTCAAAACTAATCAACAAAATCGTATAATATCGAACATATTAAATTATTAACTAAGTATTTGATTAATGTACCTATAATAATGTATATTATTAATGTATAGGTAGTTATTGTTTATTACAATAATTGTCAGGTAGTAATAAACTCAGTTACATCAGTTACTCATAGTTATATGTATACGCCACTTTTACTTCTACTTAAACATAAAATAATATGACTATTTACTATTTATATTTTACACACAAAATAAGTGTTTTATAAGTTATATAAACGGTCGATACAATTAATAATAATATTACAGCAAACACATCCAAAAGATAGTATTGATACCATGTCAGGTCGAAGGCGTAAGATTTTAAGTGAGTTGAGCTTTTATGACGATGAACATATTCTGTCCAATAAACAACCGAACTTACCGGACTCATGGGTCGATCTTTGAAACAATTAGAAACGATATTGGCATTTATCCGGTATCTTTAAAAAAAAAGTTCATATTCGAACACACATGTTTTCGTCAATTTCACCGACAACAAACTCATACGATAATTAAAATTAAAGCATATACTTCAACTCACTTTTCGTTGTTAATTAATTCATTTATAGCATTAGAAAGTTTCTCTCTAGTTACGGATAGTAAGTCCATAGATATTGCCATGCCTGCGTCTACTAAATTTTCTATATTCCTAGGCTGATCATAGAACATGGGAAGTCCAAGAACTGGAACGCCGGCATCTATAGCTTCATACACGCCAGATATACCTCCGTGACTGATGAATAATTTTACTTTGGGATGCACTATAAGAAACGTATTACAACTTAAAACAATATAATATCAGCTATTGTCATGTTTTTAATTGAAAAGCAATTGCATTATACAATATATATTTTTTATGGCATTAACTCATAGTTATATAATTCACCGGTTTTTACTGTGGTGAAGGGTACGGTTGGATCGGAGCACGTATACACGTGTGGCAAGGATTTGTCACCAAGAACCCGGGTGGTCACCCATCCGAGAACTAGTGACACTAACTGATGTGACTAGCACTCAGAATACGTTTCATAACTGAAGCCAAACACCATGTCACAATATATTTAAATATATGAAATACATATGTCATATGTCATATGTAGGTACGTAACTACAGGTGAGTAAATACTAAATACTTACAAAGTATTTCACGCTGAGGAAACCATTTACGTGTCATCACATTTGGTGGTTTGTTTTTCATTTCGCCTTCGTACTTCCACAATACTCTTTGAGGAACTTGCGACAACCCGTCTTTATATGCGTTTTGAATGTGATCCGGCAACGTTGACATATCCACGATCGATCCAAATGTAAAGTAAATTACTTCATGTGGTGAATTATCGATATACTCTAAAATATCCTGTAGTTCAAAGAATTATGTATATTTTTTTAATATTATATTAGTATGTATTAGTAATAATAACTCGCGGGGATAAGAGTAGAGTCATTTGAGTTTTGATGGCTGGGTGGTGCTACAAGGAGGGAATTTGTTTCCTTTTAATTTTAAAAATGTCCCGACTAATCGAGAATATTGGCGAGATAGGCCTAATTTTCTGTTAGATTCCTTCAGCAGACTATCGTTACCTACATGCATTATAAATTTTTTTCATGGGTAGTTTAATTTTTTTTATAGATTAATAATTAAATTTATTATTGGATAAATTTTTCTCGTATTACACACTTTTTTTTTTTTTTATTCATTTGTAAAATACAATTTAAGCGTAAACGAGTAAGTTGTACATGTATTACTTTTCTGAATCAAAAGATCTAGGTATAATATTAAGTATACCTAATAAATATTTAAAAATATTAAGATCGATATGTGCCTATAAAAAATACAATATTAAAAAACAGGAGATTATAAATTATAATTATATATGCTCAGAGTACAAAAATGAACAAGTGTAGGATAAACTTTGAACATTTTTCTGAGAGCCATTTAAAATGCCACATCCTTTTAAAATAAAAACCTGTAATAGTGATATTAATGACGCCACTGACTAATATTGACGCTAGATATATAAAACTTTTATAACTCACTGCAGGTATAATATCATCCTTGGGTGGTTGTAAATGAATTCCGCCTACTTGTATGACGTTCGGTGGAAACGGTCTTGGAGCCTCGGTGACGTAGTACGTATTAACAAACACGAGAGACGGCTTAACTGGTTCCACTAGATCGTGCTTGCTAGGATTGTTTGTCTTCATTTCAGACTCTTTTCGTTCACTTAAAAATGCGCTATACGCGAAAAATAGAGAATTTTCAAGCCTCTGAAGAAACGTTCTCGGGACCGAGTGATAGGCCATTACATGAGACACGGTTGCTGGATTCGGATTGTTTCCTATTAAACTATATTCAATAGTCGTTTTCAACGGCGAAGGCGACGAAAATATGATCGGTACGTCTAATTTGGCGGCTACGTAAGTGACACATTCAGATGCAGCTCGTTCGACAATAATTAAATCGTAACCAGACTTATCGCTATTCAATATATCTTTCATCTTGGGATGTTCATTGATGATATCGCAAATGCAACGGGTCCAGTTCATGACCAAAGGTATCATTACCGTAGATTTTCGAAAGCTTTCCATTACGAATTGCGAGTCGATGCCGACATCCAACGTGGAAATTTCTTTCGATATATCAATATCCGTATAGTTGATACGCTCTCCGTCGAGGATTGGAGTGAACGCGGTTACACGATGACCACTGTCTGTCAAAGCTCGGAGAAGTGCGCTCATGAAATTCCAATGGCTTTTTCCCGTAATCGGCTCTATAGCCAGAATGTTCATAGCTGTGATTGGGGTACCAGACCACGAAACAGTAATGGCAGCAATAAACAACATCGTACAAACAGACATGGTGTTTATATCATATTATTTACAAACGCCGTTTATATGAGTACTTGATGAGTTTTTACTCTAAAATAATAATACCTGTAAATTTGTCAAGAGTCAATAGTATTGTTTTTTGATTTTCTTACGATATGAGAAATGTTTAAAGCAGTAACACTTTGGGAGGGGGTGTGATTTATTTTGGGTCCAAACCTAGTGGACATGATTTTTTATAACTAAGTTAATTGTATTACATTTTAATTATTATCTCTTATATGGGATGATTCACCAAACCATGCCCCCCTCCTTTTTTCAATAATGCTGAAGTTGGCATTCAAAACGGATTTTTTGAATTATTTTATATATTTACTTAAAGACCACATTTTCAAGTAAATGGGGTTTTTTCTACTTAAGGAGTTTCTTATGGAGACATATAAACTTGGATTTTTCAAATAAGAATCCTTCTTTTCAACTGCACATTATTTAGCGTATAATTATTCTGAAAATGTTTACGTAGAAATAAAAATAAAAATTCAAACGAGTAATTTTTGAATTTACTAACTTTGTGTAGGTACTAAAGATAAAAATTATTACATCCATAATGATGATATTGGAAGATAATATCAGGGCTGTAGTGACTTGAATATTTTAGTAATTAGTATTAATCTGTCTACATTTATAATTTGTAAACATGATCAAAGTATAACAAACACTAGACCTAATATTATATATAATTTATATTTTCGTAAAAACATTTTTGAGGACTTTTAGCCTTAGTAAAAACATTTTAATAAATTAAAAACTATTTGGTTGAATTCTAAATTAGATAGGTACATCACATTTTTAAAAATATTTAAAAATCCAAAAATCAGAATTATTCTAAATGTATTCTTAAATTAAAAAATGAGAGGGACATGCTTCGTGAATCGCTCCTTTATAATTATAACTATGGGCTACGTCGCGTAACCTATAAGTACAATATATTTAGTATACTGGACACTTCGAAAGGACATACCTAACAAGTGACTTAATTGTTATAGATATCTACTCTCAACACCTATATCGATTTAAAATATTAATTTTAAAGTATTGAACTGTGAGTTATATACTCAAATGAATTTACACAAATAGCTAACATGCAGTTGCAGCTACTTATTGTTCATAAGTTAGTTATTTAATTAAATATCTTACAAAGCAACATAAAATTGCTGTAAACAGTCACTTTAGACTCTTAGAGAACTGTCAAAATTTGTCAAAATGGACCATGTTTTATAATTTTAAATATAAAATAATGTAAACTAAATAATAACATTTTTACTTACCTAGTTAACCAAACACCAAGTACTTATTAAACGATAACGGACATACAGTGACGACAAGTCCTTGATAATAACTAAATCATTGTAATTAAATATTAGATTAAGTAGGTACCTATACATTATACATAATATATATGATTAAAAATATTACTTTACATCAATTTAATGTGTATAGTACGTTTGTAGGGGGACAGAGTGGACTAAGGCATCGGTTGCAATTTGCACCGTCCGCCGGTTCGACCCTTGGCCACGGGCGGCACTTTTCTCCGGGCAGACATCTGTCTGAAGAGAAAGCCCCCCCCCCCCCCCCAACCGGGCATGGCAGAAACCTACGGGTGCCCAGTCAAAATTCTGCCAAACACAAACGTGTTAAAACCTACCGTTCCTCCCCCTACAAACCAACAAACATACAAACCTACAAAAACAGTTAATAGCCATAGTTGCCGGGCTTAAGATCAATTTAAAAATTACGTTTGTAATCCATTTAGAATATTCTTGTTCAGATGAAATATAAATTAAAGTCTATAGTATGTAATCTAATATTTTGTAGTGATAGTTTTAAAAATACTCAATTAGATTATAAATTATAATGTTGTTGTAAGAAATTATTATTAAAAACGTATTATAATATATAATCGATTAAAACACATAATATAGGTATTACATTTGTATTATAATTTATTACTTATACTTAATTTACTTTTAATTAAAAACACATCGTTGATACAAATATTTTTAACAATAACTAAAGTCAAACAGGCACATTTTGACATTTTGTACATATTATAAGTCAAGATTTTTTACAATTATATAAAGATTGAATTAATTAAACTACAGAAAATATCAGTAGTGTAAAGAGTAAGACTAGTACCTGCGTCAAAATTACCCAAATAGATAGAGCTCGGCCAACAATTTGTTCACTACAAGTAAGATAATAAGATGTTTTGCGTCTTACACCACTGTCGACTCCACGCCACGCCACTGGTAAGATGTTTTGCGTATAAAAAATCATCTGACAATCTCTCATAAATCGAACCACTCGTAAAGTTGTAACTTAATTAAACTTTATTTAGTAAGTACTATGTAGCATCATGTGTTTGGTTTCTAATGTGTACCGATAATCTTATCTGTAACAACCACTTGGTCTCTATACAAATATGACCAATTTTTGGATCAGTTCGTTTACATAAAAAAATGTTTGTACTCGCTATATTTAAAGAATAAGTGTTGAAACCGTAAAAACCTATTTATAAGTTATAACGAAATATAACAAATTTAGAGGATGGACAATATATGTTTTGATTTTTATGAAGAGATAAATCGTTATTTTACTTAATATTCGTCTTGACAGTCTGACGCGTCAGTTGGCAGCAGTCCGGTCGCTGTATGCAATTGAGTATAAGTGATTGTGTCTGACACTAACACCTAATATTTAAGACATATTTCTGTACAACTCGAAATCAATTAAGTAGGTACCTACACAATGTTCACGTTGCAGTAGGTGCCACGACGTCGAATATATAAGGTTGGGTAGTTTTACAACGAATATCTAGTACAAAATAAGGTATTACCTACCTTATTTTGGACTTTTTAGTTATATCCGACGTCGACGGGTGCTTGACTAGGCGGTGTTGTTGGACTCCCCACAAGATCTCTGGCTATCATCCAATTTTAAGTAAAAATTTGCGTTTTCTCTTAATTTTTCTTAACTAACAATAAACAGAGTGTTACGAAAATTTGCCTCTCGAAAATAGGATGGAAAAGTATTAGGTACAAAGCCCAAAAACATATATTTTATGTTGAAAATTCCCAGACTTGTCCACAGACCACATTTTATAATAAATACAAGATAATTTGAGCTTAAGTGTAAATTGACCAGTTTTCAAAATTAAATGTAAAAAATACTAAAACTGTTATCTCAATGCCCAGGTAGGTATCGAATTATTTTTACTACTAGACAATTACTTATTATTCTGTATTCAAATATTTTGAACGATTGTACAGCGTATATAATATCGACTATAGTTTTACAACGATGGCCAAGTGATAGGCACTTTTGAATAATTCTATTTTTGTGTTATCAAATACTATTATAAATAATATTATTTAACAAAATCTCAAAATTACTATCGTATATTGAAACATCGAAAAATACATAACATTGCTACTACACGTAGTAACACATTATTCAAACTAATTTCGGTTTAAGATTTCAATACACAATATTTTAGTTCAGTATGCCGAAATGTCGAATTCGTGTTTGGAGATTTTCTCCAAATTTTTGTTTTGGTTAGAAGGTTCGTTAAATATATAACAATGTGTGTACGATAATATTAAATGCTTAAATAATGATAAAAAAAAAAACTATTACCTACTGTTCGTCTAAATCGCAATGTTTGCAAACATGGTAGGCATGTAAATATTATATTACCTACAAGGCTACATTACTTTTTCTGCACTTTATGACACAATATTGTTACGAGTTATTATGACTAAGTTTTGTATTCGATAACATCGTAAAATATACTCTCCGGATTCACATCACGCAGAAAAATTATTATTTTCAAAAAAGTTAATACTTTGAACCATTGTCACATTCAAGCATGACTGCATTACTACAGTAGTCTAGTGTTAAGTCTATAGTGTCTACACTTATTGAAGAATCGCTATTCAACCTATATGCAAAAACATTAAATATACGCATTTAGGTATTCAGTAATAATTATTTATTTATTTATTTCCATAAACCTAAAGGTATACATTTGTAAAGTTTCAACCGCACAGGCAGTGATACAGCTGAAATAAAATAGGTTTAAAAGGTACTCAGTAGTCAGTACATAAAACAGCTTGTTACGATTATAATTTGTATACATTTTTCACTACTTCGGCCGTCCGTCCACTCCGATCACAGTCAGTGAAGTGATAGTGAAGTCGGATATTGAAAGCATTCGGAGCTCTAAAAATCAAACATTTACTCGTATGTAGATTGGAACACCTGTGTGATTAAATCATTCAGCGGAAGCCCAAAGCACTTCCATCAACTTTGCGAATTCGGCACCTGGCACGGGCCTCCGCTCCGCATTTCCACGAAACACCTGTTACCTACAACTGGTCTTGTCATCGTGAAATCATGAAAAAAGCTACTGTATATAAGTATAGGATAATATTCACAAATGAAATGTTACACGACATCGCCGTACACAGATACTATACAGGAAGTAATTTGCACTTCCGTTGTATTCACAGCAGACTATTCAAGGTGCAGAGGAATTATAATAATTAATGGCAAATAATAGCGCGATGACATTCCGAACAGCGTATTCTGTCGGGACCTACGAAAAATATGCGCAGGGCGTCCAATAAAGAGCAGACATTAACCAAATATTTGAAATTAAAAACTTTAAATTGGTTGTTACTATTATTAATCGACAGAGATATAATTGTTCAACGTTTGGTCATATCTTTCTTGGGCATCCTATACATATAAAAACTGCACTTGGACACTACAGGTACTCTTCGATAGCCGTACTATCTTAGTATCTTACGATGCAGTTTGAGCATTTCCGTTCGACCTATCGCCAAATACTGAACGAAATTCCACTCCAAATCCGAAATCGTATAATCTTGATAGTAACATTATGTCGATCGACGCCGTTTATCGTCCCGTTGCTACTTGATTCTGCGAAGCCGAAAAAATTTAATGCTATC